CGCTGATTACTTTTTTTCAATTTGACAATAGTAACCGTGAGAAACTGCCAATCAGAATTATTTTTATGAATAAGAATAATATAACTTAGTATATAAAAGTTAAATAAAGCAATGGAATGGTTCAGTTGTACTAAAGTAAGTTTAGATTTTGAACACTATCATTTGGTAAAACATTGTGATACTAAGAACGAAATTTCTTTTAACTTCCCCTCTACAAATACATAACAGAAAATAAAAATAAACATAAAAAAATGAGATTACATGCGAGTAAATTATAATAGCTACAAGATTTAGCAAAAAAAAATTAAAATAAATTTCTCCTAACAATTTCAAATAACTAAAACATTCTTTTACGGTGGTTGAAATACATTCTAAATGCTGACTTGTGACGTGGGATTATATAATTTATGACAAAATATACATAAAACTTTCAGAGATTCAATTACAAACAATTTATCTAATTGAACCCAATTTAATTGATAGTGCAAATGGTTACAAATGTAACATTATATGATTGCATCTGGTTGTTCGTAACAGGCATATTCTATTGCATTTTAGGCCTCAGAAAATTTGTAGTAATTCAATAAATTAATTTTAATATTCTTTTATTTCCTTTTAAATATGTAAAAAATGTGCAAAAAAAATCAATGTATATGTGTTGACTTATCTTTAAATGATAATTTATTTCTATAAATTAAATCAATTACAGTTAACTGGCAAACTTATATAGTTGTTTGTTTTTATAAGTTAATTATTAATAATTAATCACTGTTAAAACAATTCCAAACAAATATATTAAGGACAGTATCGTTGACCTCAAGAACTAGATAAATAATATATTCAAGATACAAAATGAATACTAGATATTTAATTTTATATAATTACAAGTTAAAGCTTGCTATTATTGGTATCAGGCTTTAAATTTTTACATATTATTTTATATAGGATAAATTGTTGAATAAACAGTTGGATATTTTTAATAATATCTGTCTCAACAGACACTTGGAATATTGGAAATTTTATTCTATAAAAATTAAATCATCTCAATGGGGATATCTTGTTATATATAACAAATGTTAATCTGTTTAATGGCACATATGTATTTTGAGAAATAAGTTACATACACATAAAGTATACAATAAAATAAATGTTAATTTCTAGTATATAGCTATAACTAAGCATTAAAATGACAATTGACATTTTTATTATAATCCAAGGGTAAATTATAATGGACAGGAAACAATCCTATAAGGTACATACATCCACAACAACTAAAATTGCTTAGCATCGCATATTCGGTACATAGAAAGAAACATTACAATGTAATTCATAAGGAATTGGACCAATCAGTAAAAATCGCTATCACAAATGTATTTGCCAGAGACGAAACGACGTTTCACTAGAGACAGCCGATATCCGCTGCCTACAAGTTCAAACTCTATACCGGATAGAGTAGCCCCTTCACAGTTAAACTGAGCGGATATAGTTCCTTTAGATGATGGACCATTGTTCAGTTCGAATCGAGCCCTTAACGACCCCACCCCTCTATCTTCGGAGTGCTGAGACAGCTCAGTGAATCTCCATAATGCCTGACCATTTTCTCCATTCCATATACTCTTGGGCATCGCTATAACATTCTTAACACCAACGTTAATGGGTACACAAACTGATACATTGAGAAGAGGAGATGGAGGACTCATCGCGTGAAGATTATATTTATAATCAACTTTCAGATCTGTATGATCTTGTTCACATTTCCAATAAGAAACTAATTGAAACGGACATGATGCTGCTCCAGTTTTGGGCCGTATTTGATACTTCAATATGTCTACATTGAAATATTGAGCAGTCGGATTCTTTTCAGATTGTCTTTTCAACAATGATGTTAATGCAGGCATGTTGAAATCTACAACAGTAGTATCTCTTGTTGACATCATTGTGTTGATACTAATCAGCTGCTTGTTAGGTAAGACATTGTCTAGTCTATGTATATTTTTCAGTCTGAAACATAACTTTGCTGGATTGGGGTTGTTAGCTAAAACACCCACTATGCCAGTTGGGAATGATAACATCATATCTCCTGACATTTTTACTTGGCATTTACTCTCTTCTGTTCCTCTAAAATAGGAATGAATAATTTCATGGAAAGCTACAGCAAGGGGTATAGTATCTGCCATACCTATTGTGAGAGGAGAGGGCCCTCTAGAACCTGAGGACCCTGCTGCTCGAAAGTCTCCTTCAGATCGCCGCGAAGGTGGTCTTGGGAGAGAAATAGTTGTTATTGTTGGAGTTGATGTTCTGAAGTTAGATTGCGCCAGATCCCCAACTTCAGAGAACAGATCCCCAACATCAGCAGTTGAAACTGGAGTAGGGCTTTCCAATAAATGTGGTTGGTTTGGTTGCAATGGGGCATATGGATTTGAGACATTGCCATGTGGTGAGGCTGGATTGCTTATATTGGGACTTTGAAAGAAATTGATATCCAGAAGGTCACTACTGGCTTTACTTGTGTTTGCATTGGAGCCTCTGCGATTTGTACCAATTTTGTACAAAGATATGTTTTCAACTGTGGCTCTCAGCTCATCTACACTAGCTGACATGGGGGCACTACCATTACTAATGGGTTTAATTTCAACATGAATCTTCTGTTCTCTTTCTTCCTCAGAATCTGAGTCAGAAGAAGAGTACACACTACCTTTTTCATCTTTAGGCCTTATACAGAATCCTTCCTCATCAACCTCAGGGGAATTCATTATATCATCTTTTGTAGGCACTTCTTCCTCTTTCTCTTCCAAATCAGACCTATCGCCTGCATTTGAATTTTCTGAAATTTCATCCTTTTTCTTTTTCAATTTCTTATTTTTAGTTTTTGTACGTCTACTACGAAACCATTTAGATTCCCGGAATGTTGACCGACCCATATTATCATCTTTATCCTGAGCAGCTGGTGTGGCAGAAGTGCCACTGGGGCTGGATGGGGCTGAGCATGGCGCTGCCCCCTCCGCACTAACACTAGGCTCATCTTTACTTTGAAAATTTGGTGTGAACAAATTAAGAAGAGAGGTAGTCCTTCTAGATGTTTTTGTAACAAATGACTGTTGATCTTTTTTAGCTACGGTTTTGGGAGCTGATTGTGGCTTATGTGACCCATTGGAAATGGTTGATATTTGGTCTGCTTCGGAAATAGAATTATTAGCAGAACCAGGTTTAGGTAGTGAAGGTGGCAGTTCAACAAGATTGGCTTTATCTATTGCATTATACTTTTCCACAAGAAACTGTTCTAATAACTTTTCAACAGTCAACTCTAGGCATTGGTGCTTAAAGTCCCTATGAACTTGTCCCATCATATCATGATTGTTCTGGATGATGTCTGCATAAACATTTACAAACTGTTTCATTTGTTTTAAATGAGCTTCTTCAACATCCTGGAAATGTTTACAAGTTTGTGTCATTTTCTTTTCAAAATCTTGTTTCACAAGATTATACTTCTCAGCAAGTTGTCTATAGTCCTCGTGAAGTTTTTTCAGTTTCACTTCAGATTTTTCAATATCTTTAGCAGATGCATTATCTTTACGTAGTTTCTCTAGCTCAGTTGACTTTGTTGTGTACACATCTTTAGCTTTCTGCAAGGCTTGCTTTGTGCTTTGTATTAGTAAAACGACTTCTAATGTACTCGATTCTGAGTCCTTAACAGCCTTATGCTTTTTGTGTAACTCTTCAGCATAACGAGCAACATCTTTGACAAGTTCACCGACTTTTTGGAACATATGCTGATGTAAATTCGACAATTTTTCCGCTGAACATTTCAGAACGGTCCAAAACGGTGCAAATGTACCCTGTGCGCAATTGCTATTAGCTTGTTTAGCTAGTTTGGCTAATAACTTAGAATTCGTCTCTTCAATATTTGACCGCTCCCTAAGATACTCCGAGAGTTCTTTGCTGGCTATAAATCCGAATTTCATGTTTTGATATAAAATATCATATCCATAATGCTCGTTGGCGAAATAATCTACGAAGTTGACACTCATCTTTGCAGTTACAAAGGTGAACAATTAATTATTCAATATATTGTCACTCACTGACCTGTATTCTAGGATCAAGCTCAGAATCACCATTGTCATCAGCTGGAATAGTAAATGAAGATTCCTCCATTGTGGCACTTAGGAGAGGAAGCCACCCAATCACCTAAATTACATCACTGACACAATAGCGTATGGCGTCACTTAATATACACTGGCTTTTATTTCATTACATATACATCACTATTCTATTTTTTAATTTATAAAATTAAATATCAGGCACGCAGTATGCAGGTTAAAAAAATCTTGAATTTAATTTAATAAAGAAATTTAGAAATTTTCATTCAAGATGACGTCCACTCTCATGACGTCAAATCATAATAATAGACAATTTTTTATTTCAGTGCTTTCATACAGATTATATTTTCATAACAATTGATATACGCAAAAATTCGATTCGTGAAATCGTTAGATTAGAGATGGTTTAAAACAAAAATGTCACTTACTTCTGATACCGTAACAATAAATCGAATTAAAAATACGGGGCAAATTACTTGGCAATAGCAATATTTTATATACTCTTTGGCAATAGTTGGATGATCATTTTTAAATAAAACTGATTTTAATGTAATCAGTTTTATTTTTATGCTCGTAATTTTCGATATCTAAGAGATTTATAGTTTTACCTTTTAAGATATAAATTAGAGTATTTGTGTCTACTAAAATCAGTGGATCTGGAAAGATTTTTAAAGACCATGGTTTGAGACAATTAAATTTTTAGTAACTTGAACAGTTAATGTAATTTCTTCAAATTTAAAGAGCAAAAATTTGTATAGAAATACATCTTCTTTCGAAAAGACACAAGTTTTCTCATTTTAAGTGGTTCACTTTTATTTAGTAAATTCCATTTCATTACAGAAATCGAGTCAAACATCGATTCCATCAAACAATGAGTTCTTAAAATTGTCTATGGATATAATGATAGTTCGTAAAGGTGTTGCTGATTGTGGTGTTTTAAATCGGGTGTCTCTTTCTCACTAGAGCAATTCTTTCGATAACAAGTCAAGTGGGAGGAGAATAATAAAAGTTTTCTTAGTTGATATTTATTTTGGTCGGATAATGATGCTTTTTTATGTGTCGAATTTGACGTAAAACAACTTCAATTTGATCCAGCTTCGTTGTTTCATTACGAAGAGTTTCAGTTTTATTGGAATTTCATTCTATGAGTGACATAAGTAACAGTTGCAATTTTTCACCCAAGCTCTTGATTCAAGTGCGTGTATTCAGAGTTTGTTTCTGAGACGGCGATTTTAGTCAATCTGTATGCAACTGTTACGCGTTACCTCGACTATGTCTTACCAAGGATCACCATATTCGGGCCCGGGTGACGACTATGATTTTGAAGACGATGGATACGACGATTTAGATGAATATAGGGATCAAGAGGACCCGTTGCCACCACCTCCAGTCGACGATAGCGATGAAGGTAAGAATGTTTTGTTTACGTATTCTTTAGCCTATTTTGGCGTCGTATTACTGTCATACGTGCTACAACCTGTTATTCCTGACAAGTGACTTCGTCTATAGCTTGTAAACAGATGTTATATAATATTGATAAGGTTAGAAGATATTTATTCCACACTTTATATACTTCCCGCCTTTTGGTGTCTGGTTAGTTGGTGACGTAATACGCCCGATTATGCTTTGCTTTCACCTTGGAAGGGGATCATTCTTGTTGAAAATTAAACATGTGGCTGTTTTAATTCCAAACTTTAACATTTTCGCAATGTTCACAATTATTTTAGAGGTTAGTTATGTGTTTTATATATTCTACATGTTTAAACATTAATTAACTTAAAAAAAAATTCCCATTGGATTGTAAAATCATATTTTTTTTGTTTTAAAACTTTAGACACAGAAGAAGCTAGTGAGACAGACATACCCCACAATGATGAGCCAGTGGAGATCAAGGAACAGTATGTTGATTATTTTATTATTATAATATTTAAACTGTCTAATTAACATAAACACAAAGTTCAATAATTATCAAGTTTATAAAAAAATCAAAATTATAAGTTTTTTTATATAATGTTTCGTCTGATCATAAAAAGACATAATAAAAGATAAAACTATTGTTTATTTCAATAATTTAGTCTGTAGTTTTTGGCTGATTAATAATATGAATTTATGTATTTAAATATCTATGCATTTATCTTGTAAATTAATTTCAGAATGTATCAAGATAAGTTAGTAAATCTAAAAAAGCAGCTACAGCAGTTAGAAGATGGAGTGCATCCGGAATTCCTGAGGAGGGTGAAAAGGCTGGAGCATCAGTTACATGAGAGATTAAGGCTCAACAAGATATACAAGTTAGTTTATTAAATTAAGATTAAATATATGTTATGAGTTCTTTATCTATACAAGCTTGTGAATCAAACTCTAATCTTTATATATAAAACAAAACAACACAATTTAGTAACTACAGTAAACTGTTTTTTTTTTAAATTATGTTCTTTTAAACTAAATGTGCATAGATAACAATGGTTCATACTTTTGTTAATTATGATATAATTAAAAAAAAAAACTTAATAAGTAGCTTTTCTGGACATACTATCAAAGAAACATCCATCCATCCATCCATCCATCCAAATATTCACATTCGTAATATTAGTAAGATTTTACACAAAAAAATGATTTTATCCCGTTCAAAATGCAAATTTTTATATGTATGGACCTAATATTATATTTAAACAACTTAAAATCTTATTTATCAACATTATTTGAATTTATTATAAATTTCCGTATATTATTACAGAGATCACATGCATGATGTGGTAGAAAGAGAATATATATCAGAGAAGAAGGCAGCGGCAAAGGAGTTTGAAGAGAAGAAAGTAGAGTTAAGAGAGAATTTACTCAATGATTTTGAAGACAAGAGAAAAATGATTGAAAATGAGAGGCACAGTATGGAGCTAAATGGTGATTCTATGGAGGTAAGATTATTTTACCAAAACTCGGCCTCTTTCTAATAAAGTCCTAACAAAATATTCTGTCTTTGGATATAGTGACTTACAAAAAGTTGTTTTTATCGATATATTTGTCTAAAAGGTCGTAGAGAATGCAATAATTGGTTAATACTTTTCAGGTGAAGCCAGTAATGAAGCGGATACTGCGGCGGCGCGCCAACGAGCCTGCGCCGGCGCCGGAGAAACGTCGCAAGCCGCTGGCCACCACGCTCACCTATCAACTGGACGAGCGCGACGTGGAGGCCGACCTGCGAGCCATCGCACGCCACGCCCCCTCGCCGCCCAGGCACGCCCCCGCTCACAACAACCAGCCCAGGAAACACCACAACTCAACCAGTTGTAAGAAACATATTTATTTAAGTCATTATGTACACTTTTGCATACGACCTAATCGGGTAACAAATGAGGTAGGTATGCATAGATACGGCAAGTTAAGGCCACACGAAATGAATACCCATAATTTTTGAATTATTGCATAAGTGACAAAACATTTGAAAGGCTCTTTTACTTGGAATCAGATCACTAAGATACTAATTAAAATCATTAAATAGCTTTTAGCGTAACAGTTGAACATTTAACATGAATTTGTGTGTAGCGACGTGCGCGGGCGAGTCACCGGTGCGCGAGGGCGAGGCGACGGAAGCGAGGGTGGAGGATGGCAAGCTGTGGTACGAGCGGCGCTGGTTCCACCGCGGACAGAGCGTCTACGTTGAAGCTAGAGGTCGCGAGATCGGTCGCTTCGCCGGACACATACATGCAATCACCGATGAAGCGGTCAGTTTCACACTATAACACTAAATATAGTAGTACACCTGGTATTATGGTTTTCAAACATTAAAGCTTAATTAATAAAAAAATTCAAAACTAAAACTGCCACAAAGATTGGCATGGACAGTCACAATTGTTACAAGTGTGATAGACCCTTTATTATTCTTGCCATGTACTATTATTTAGCTGACTTTAATTGCATGTTTTGTACTACTTTTATTTATTTAAGAAACTAGCAGACACTGAATGTGATGTTGAAGCAAAATATATTAAAGAATCTGTCAATTACCATAACTTAATATTTAAAATGTAATATCAACTTTGTTACAGATATGGGTGAAGAAAACGAATTTGGAACGCGTGAGGATATACGTGTCTCAGTTAGCGCGGGGTAAAGTGACGTTAAAGAGACGGGCATCGTAACTAAGTGATAATCCGTGCAAGACTGTTCTGTACATAGTTTATATGTTATTTGTGTATCTGTGAAATGGGATATAACTGAAGATTGGATGTGCCAAGGATACATTGAAGTGTCGGGGATGTTCAACGTATACGGTACTGTACAATATCAGATATAAATATTATCATCAGCTCATTATAAGTCTCCAAAAAGGGGCTCGAAGCCTACCAAGTTAGGAGTGACTAGGCCAAAGTCAACCACGTTAGCCCAGAGCGGGTTGACTTCACACTTATTGTAAAATTTCTTAATAGATATGTGCAAGTTGCATCAATATGTCTTCCGTCACCGTAAGAACATTGGTACATGGCGGCATTCGAACCCAATACCTGCAGATTACAAGTGCTTTAACCCCTGAGTCACCGATATTCCGTATAAATATGCCACCTATTAAATGTGAATGCTGTCTATTTGATATTTACATAGGCTGATTGTAAGCAAATTGCATATAAACAAATTTATTTACAAAAATGAGGCTATATTACTTTGTAAAGGTTGTTATTTCTGTGGTGCTATTAAAATATTATTAACTATCAATGCAACTACTAATTAAGTTTTACAAAGTGACGAATTAAATCGTCGTTTTTTGAATGAATTTGTCTAATATGCATTTTTTTGACTCGGCAATTTGCTTTATATTTCAAATGGACAGTAAACATGATTGGTGAATGATGTAGCACAAAATTAATTGCTATTTTCATATACAAGAAAGTTCTTTGTACAATGTAGTATATGAAAAATGAATTGCTTAATTTATAGTATACATATTTATTACGCAATGGATTCTATCTTTATCTATATATAACATTTTTTCGAAGGAAAATTATATTTATATCGTCAAATGGAAATGAGGAATGATATCAAACCTATCCAAACTATTTAACCTTCAATCTGTAATCACAAACTTATTAAAATCAGACATGTTTTTATTATTGAAACAAACCCATAGATGACAAATGATATTGTCAACCAGTGAAATGTGAACTTATATAAAAATGGCTAAAACACCCCTGTATATTCATCCGGTGGCGGCACCGACTAGTTTCGAGCCCATGGAGGGCCCTTCATCAGGGTGAGTGGGACTGGTATTATATCTCGGACGCGGCCCCCACCTCACTGAATATACGTGAGTGTTTTAGCCGTTTTTATATAAGTTTATTATAATGTCTCACAAAAGTTTGAATAATTTAACAGTAAAAATTGAATTTTATATCTCTTTTTCATTGAATTCTGTACATTTTTGTGTTAATTGTGGCCTTATGGCCACATTTACCATATATTTGCCACATTCAGTTTTACACTAAATATCTTAACAATTATTTCATAAAATCTCATCCAACAATATGACATGAGAAGTGACTAAGTGTTGGAATCCATTGCCTTGACACTTGTTATATAGCATGTTGTCTGTTTCAAATGAATATAAGAAATGACAGTTTTTGTCAATAAACATGTTTAAAAATCAAAGTACAGTATGAATAGGTTGTTTTTCTTGTGTTTTTTGAGTCAATACATAAATTTCCTGGTATTTTTTATACAAAAGTGTAGCTTTTCAATTGATTAAATAGTATTGACTTTATTGTAAATACCTTATTATGTCTTTGGACTTAATTTTTGGCATAAATGTGGCTTTTTTTCAATATAACTCAATACATAGTTATGGGCCTCTTTCTGTGATAAAATGTTTGTAAATATTTATTATCTGTAAACATAATTTCACTGAGCAAGTTCCTGTAGTGAGGTTTACACATCTTGATACTTGCATTAATTTTTATAAGCTGATGAGATTTTATAATACATATATTTGACACATGTATTATTTATTTATAATTATATATTTAATCGCAAGTAGCCAGTGTTGACAAAATTATTTATATCTGTCATAATGTAACAGGCCTATTTTGATAGCTAAGAAATAAAAGTAGAAGAATTTAAAATATGTTCACATTAATTCATTGACTGTAATAAATATCAAAGCGTCAATAGCCCAATGGTTTAGGATATCGATTTCCGATTTTGAGGTCGTGGGTTCAAATCCCGACATTCGACTATAGTAAACCGTGTCCTAGCATAAGACTAAAGCTTAATTTAAATGGTCAAGAAATATTAGTAAATTTAACAATAATTTGCTAATATTTTTATAAAAAAAAATTCCATGGCAAAGTAAAAGCACAAAACAGTATACAAAATGGGTCTATTAAATTGTGATGTAAAATATCTATTGATTTTACTTTGTTTAGTTATTTTCATGATATATTTCTGTTCAAATTGTAATCTTATATATATTACATATAAATCTTATTATACCATATATCAGTGCAATGTTATATTGACGATGTATTAAAAATATTTAGGCCACAAAAGGTGTCTAGGAAAATTTATAGATTACAATAAGATAAAAATTCTAAGATTGTTGAGCTAAAATTACTAAGAAATTAGAAACTAAAATATCCTACCTCTTTTAGGTAATTATTGTCACATGAGTTCTAATTGTTTATTAAATGTCCTGGATTTTGTTAATTTATTCGCCAAATAATAAATAAAGTTTAGGACAATTTGTACATTGTAAATAATCTGGATTGTAATATATTTATCAAATGTACAGGCACCGGTTTTTGGACTGAATTCTTTTATTTCTTATTTTTTTTATTACATTTTGTGATCTAATTATTATATGTGTAAATGTGTTGTGAAATGTAAATATGTGCATAAAGTTTACATGAATGTAGATGATATTTGACGAACAAGATCTTGAATTATATGTACTATAAGATTATTTTCTTTTATTTATAATCTACAAGCTGTCGCCCGCATCTCCGGAATTAAAAACAAACATAAGTGGACTTGGTGTTCTTCCGGACTATGTTTTACATCTTTGCCAAATTTCAACGAGATCCATGAAGCCGTTCCGGAGATACCTTCAAACAAACATACATCCATCCATCCTTTTATCTAAATATTTGCATTTATAATATTATTAAGATAATGACTGAATATTTCAAATGACATCCCATTCCAAGAATGTTGAATAAATTGTGGTCAAATGCTAGTTTATTCTAATGCTATGTACTAGTCGGCCGAACTCCGTTCCGCGGTATTAAAAAAAACATATTTAGTAGCCTATGTGTTCTTCCAGACTATGTTCTATATCTATGCCAAATTTCATCAAGATCCATTCAGCCGTTCCGGAGATACCTTCAAACAAACATTGATCCATCTAAACATTCACATTTATAATATTAGTAAGATATAATAATTTATATTATTGAGTAATTTCAATGAGACTATTATTGTTTTAAAAATTTATTCATCAAAATTACCAGAATTAAGCCAAAAACATAAGTTTTTTATCCTTTTGTTACTATCAATATAATATTTTAGAACCCATAACTTACATTCATTAGGAGGTCAATCTTTGGTTAAGTTAGTAGTTATAACTCTTGATACTAGAAAATATATTTTTTAACATCTTTTTTTATTTCAATGTATATCAAGAAACTAGATCAACGAGATAAAGACCTTGAAAGTCGCTTGTTTTTCGTACAATAATGCGGAACATAAAGAAGTAATTAAATTTATAATAAAAAAAACCAATACACTTGTTTACTGACGCACAATTATGTTATTTTATAATATTTTTTTTTTGAAGATGTACATTTTTTAATACGAAAGGCAAAACGGTTTTCAATTTTAAGCCCAGAGCTTTGTAGATCCAAAAGTTAACGAACTGTCATATTCAATCCTGTTTGAGTGAGATATATTGATTGTTTTGAATAAACTTATATCTGAGTAAATTCGAGGTATTTAATAGAAAAAAAATTGTCTCGACAATGTATAAACAAGCTCCTGTTGTTTTTAAATAGCATTTTTTATTGAAACAACTCGCAGGCGCTTCCTGCTTCTAAAAATAATTAGTAATGGGCGGGTGGGTTACTTATCAATTGATAAATGTCTATAAAAAATAGTCACGTTTTTTGTTCTAAATTGAGGTGAAACCAATATTTGTTGCTACAGCAAACGAGTTTAATAAAGTTTAATGTCAAAGGCAATTAAAACAATTAAATTCAAATAAAGTTACTCAAGAATTAAGATAATTTGCTCATGTTAAAAATAATGAAAAGGCAAATTACACGAGAAATCTTTTAAGAAGAATATTATGTGGTATTTTACTAAGGTTTCATAGGTTAAGTGTGCTAATATTTTAAGACTTAAGAAGTCATAAATCTAATATATTAAATGATAAGATAGATGAAATTTTATATCTGAAATTTTAGAAATCCAAAATAGCCGATAAAGAGTTTTTTGTTATTTTTTAACAAAACAAATTACACATTTAATTAAATGGATTTCTGATATTTTATACATATTACTTAACAAATCTTAATAAGTTCCATTATCAAATAAAATCAAGTAAAAGTATCAACGTAATTTTCTCTTTCCAGCACCCGTAAAGCTTCAATACCCTTATGGTTAAGGGTACAGAATACAGAACATATCGTGTGATCCAATCCGCCATTCCTCTTTTGTTTTTCATTATTATTTTTTTATTATATAATTTTAACCATTGCATAGCGTCTTATCAGTTTATCTGCATGTAGCTTTGAATGATGCATTTTATATGCAAATCGAAGGTTTTTTTCCGGCACGTCGGAGTTAGTACGTTGAAGGTAGACCACTTATTATTGGAGACTGGTATCTAAATTACGACTACATTTTTTTGTTCGACGCCCACGTACGAGTGTCACCTTTTGTCAGACCCGATCTCAAATCATTCCTAACATACGAACATAAAGATTATCAAATTATCTTTTATATTTATCTTAAAGAATCTTAAGATCTAGGTGCATAGGTCATGAAAAGGTCAGATATTAATTGATTTTGACCATATATAACAACTTTTTTCTATTGATTTGTGAGCACAGATAACGTAACACCCCATTGTAACCAGCAGGGCAGTAGGTTGAGAGAATTTTAGACACTCTTCTCTTTCTCTCTTTCCTACAAATAGATAAAATATGTAAGCAATTTAATCTTACTATCTTACTAATATTATAAATGCAAATGTCTGGATGGATGTTTGTTTGAAGATATCTCCAGAACCAGGCTGCATGGATCTCGCTGAAATTTGGCATAGATGTGGAATATAGTCTGGAAGAACACATATACTACTAATTATTATTTTTTTCATTCCACGCGGACGGAGACGCGGGCGAAAGCTTGTATATAATAATACTCTATTGGTGACGAATTTATAAAAAAACTTAGGAGTGTTTAAAATGTCGCTTATCGCTTTGCAGATATTGAAAGATCAGATCGATAGATTATCAAGGCGTGATCTCAAATTTAGTCCACTCACGATGTTTGTCGTGTTTTTCGAATTTAGCTAAATGGATATTTCAAATCAACACTTAATTAAAGAGAATTAAGAATATATAAAATTATTGTAGATAAAATTAAATTTGAAGTTACAAATGTATATCTTATTTCTTACCCTAATAATGTAATAAATGCCAAAGTTTAGATGGATGGATGGATGTTTGTTAGAAGGTATCTCGTGAACTGCTCAATAAATCTCGCTGAAATTTTACATTAATGTAGAACATAGTCTGGTAGAACACATAGTCTATTATTTTTTTTTAATTCCACGAGAAGAGTCGCGTTTGACAGCTATTTATTTCTATAAAATAGGACTAGAATATTTTTGTCATTGATTTAAAATTTCAAATAACTATTTCACCGTTGTCTGATCTGTCGGTCCTCTTTTATGCCATGTCATAAGTTTGTAAGGACATTAAAAAGTCTGACAGCAGTCATGATTTTGTTGATAATGTATCATTTCATAAAATAATGTAATTAAACAATATTTATATTAATCTTAATGTCATGGACGTTCAAACGTTTGGTGAGCGGCGCTGCGGCACCGAGGCGACGGCCCTTCCTTTTTTAATAAACAGTAAATGAAATTATCGATATATTTTGATCGCTTTGAGTTTTATGAATGAGCGGGATAGTATGACTTGCGATTTAATCAACCAATATATTCAGTTTACTTCAACAGATGTTCGTTAGCGGTATGCAGTTAAAGCTCGCTACACATTTTCAGTTTAACTTAATCGGCTGAAAACTTACATTACAACGTGTAGGTGTTTCAATCTTAATTTTATGTAATACTGAAATACATAAAGCATCAGAAGTAAGGTTACTTAAAGCTATATCAAGTTAACACTTAATAAGACTTTTTTAACGTATTTCTTACTAATATTATATGTAAATGGGAATGTTTGGATGGATGTTTGTTAGAACGTCACGATTACGTTGAAATATGGCATAGAAATAAAGCATATTCTAGAAGAACATACAAAGTTTTTTTTAACTCCGCACGGATGGAGTCGCGGGCGACTACTAGTATTTCATAATTGCCTTGTACCGTAATAAAAATATTGCTTTTAATCTAATCGTACATTTACAATCGTGTGTCAACGTTTATTTAAATATAGACGAAAAAGGTATTATTCGATTACCAGAATCCTTTTATTAGTTTTTAATGTGATATTTGATTTAAAACCATTTAAACCTTTTTAGGTTATACCGCTTCTGTTAAGAGCTTAAAAATGCATCTACTTTTATTTTTGTTTGATCCTTAAATAAACTTATTAGAATTGTTTTTTCTTTTACTGGATTAGGAGGATAGCGTGATTTTTTTCTTGTTAGCTGCTATTTGGCTCCTGAGTCATTTTATGGTTTTGTAGTTTGATAATTATTTTTTACTTAACCAAGTTGCCTTTTAATATTACGTTGACGACCACGTAGTATGAGGAAAAGTCCAGGTAGGTTGCCCTTTCATATTGTGTTATTCGACCACGTAGTATAAGGAAAAGAGATTTTAGTGAAATATATTTGACTAGGTCGCCTATTGGTTGCAATATGACTACAGTTCGTAAACAATTTTATTTTTTATTAAAATACCAGTTCATATAATTTTCTTGAAATGCCATCCAAAGTTTTTGTTTTACGTGTCAACACAATGTTTACTTTAGGTCTATACAGCCATGAGTTTTCACTACCAATTAAAGTAGAAACACATATTATTATCTCCGTTTTCTCAAGACGAAAGAAAGGGATGTCTATATGTTTTGTACGAGTATTTCCTCTGTAGAAAATTACGATAATTGTCACTTACAATATTGTCTTAGAAGAGAGTTAGTTAGTCTTTTTTCGCGCCAATTATGCCACGAATCTAACATTTTTGATGTAAAAAAATAAATCTATTCAACTTAATGTGTTTACACGGTCTAAACCTTTTAGCAAATTATCTCTCGGGGATTAGATATTTGGTCATAAATATTTTATGGACATATTGATTAATAGGAGTCTTCGATTTATATTTTTATCTTTCTGATAGTTTACGATCTAACGGTCACGCAATCGACAGATATTTCTATGCAATAAATGAGCATAAGCATTTTTTAATCAGGCAATTTAAGTTTCTAGTTAAAACTGTAGTCTTTCTTCCTAAGAAATAACAACGAAATCAGCTCTAGCACATTTTACTCATTGTTTGTTGATAATTTTTTATGTATTGTTAAAAAAATTGTTTTTAATAAACATATTTATATAATTCAAGCATAGATAAGATAATTAAAAACATAAACGATGAGCATTATGATGATTGTTATGACAAAACATGCATTATTACTAGCATCTTGAAGGACTTCCTTGTTATGAAGAAATGGATTCCTTGCTTGGAAATTCTGTTCAGATGACTTGTTGAAAAAGGCTCGTGAAAGTAATAAACACAATTTACATCGTACATTTTGATGCGTGCGTTTGTTTGGGCACTTATCTTGCTAGTAATACATATTTTATTGTTAAATAAATTTCGTAATTGTGAATTTTGAAGATGAATTTAAATTGTGGGTTCATATTTGTTGTGAAAGATTGTTTTCATATCACCTGGTAGTCTTGTATCGTGACGTCATATCCAATTAGTTATTAGCGACCGAGGCATTTGAATCGGTACATCACAGCCGAAACTCTTAGCCAGAAGTGTACAGTTACTTGGTGTCGTGATGGACAAAGTCAATTTATGTATAAAGTCGATGTCCTGCGAGTTTGTTAGCCAGTCTCGGATGTACCGCGCGACGAGCCATTCAAAAGCCCGCAATCCAAGCGACGCTACCGCTCCCAAAATATTTTTGAAAAACACAATATCGGTTTTGGAATCGACCGCCGATTGTCATTCGGCGCACGCATAGCGTCCTAGGCCGTCCGCCGCGACACGCCACTGACACATTTCTACGGTTTCGCGCGCTTTTAGAATTTAGAACAGTTTTGTTTTTTTTTCTTTCGGTTCGGTGCTACCAATACTTGTGCCAGAGACACGTGCAAAGAAAATTGTGAAATTCAACAATAATATTCTATTTGGATTTATTGCGGTAAGTTTTGTTATAAATAATTTTAAATAATATATATGTATTTAATTTAAGCTTGAAAGAAGTTTATATCAAAAATAAAATCCGAGATTTTTTTAAATTCGAAGGAAGAAGAGCATTTTTATCAAGCTAAATACTACTACTTTTTGGTATTTAGGATATTTGAGGATAAATAATTTATTAACATTTAATAAAGCAGAGGAAGAAATCTTAAAATTATATCCGGCAATTAACAATTTTTTTTACTCGTTTGATGTGTTTACAAAATATTTCTTTAAGACGATTTTTTTTTAATTTACAACATGTCATAAAAAGTTATTCTTTTCTTTAATCGTGACAACTTAATTAAGTAACAAATGAGAAAACAATAATAAATACGAAACCAATAAATCCCGAATGTCGTAAAAAAGGTTATTAGATTTTATGTTCATTATTATAACAAATAAAAATGACACTTTTGTAGAACGAAAAGACAATGCGTGGCAACACAAATATGATCTAATAATTAAAATTTTTGCTCACAAAAAAAGTTAATTATTTTTAACTCAATTTGTATACTACTAAAGTTCTAATTTCAACAAATACAAAAATGTTTTCGCTTAATATTTACACAGATTACAAAAAGAGGCAATAAAAAAAACTCTATTTAAGCTGTGTTAAAGCTAATGAACCAAACAAAAACATGGCGATGTATTAACAAACTCGAACTGGTAATATTAAAGCGACTGACATTTTCAATTAAAAAAAAAAAGATGTTCATCTACATGATCTTTTATTTTCTGTGATACGAAGTAATAGGCCGCTGATGTAAATGAGATTTTTAATCGTTATTATTTGAAAATATTCTATACCACAGATAACCTTAAAGGGTATAAAAACGGGGAAAGTAACCTAAAAATATATACTCGTTAACACTTCTAATGCCACCGACTCTCTAGTTCCCTTTAGTATGTAAATATAGCATTCATTGAACGTGTTAATTCTATTTAAAACTAGTCTCCTGTAAAAATCTGACCTGTCGCCCTCTCAGGTCACTTTCCCTCAGCGCAAAACTCAAATGAAACAAATGAAATCGATTAAAAAGGTTTAACATTATGTAATTATATCAATTTATGAGGATTATGACCTGTAAGCTGTTAAAAACAGTTAAAAGATTACAAAAATGAACAATTTATCATCCGTGTGCAATTAATTAGAAGATCGAAAATGATTACGAAAAATATTGTAAAAATTCGCTATTTGAAAATTATATCCCATACACTTTTTTAATGTTTATAAGTGTAAAAGTATATTGTTTATGTTGTAGCTATAATTTAATGAAACAGAAAGATAATTGGTACGTCTTTAATGTAATTTGTTCTTTTTATGTCTGGTCCGCATGTCCCGCGGTGCCGTGTGTCATTCGAATGTTCCTGGTTCGAATACCGGTCCAAATATACAACAAAGTAGACTACAGAGTTAAATTATCAACCATGCCAATGTTCTGTTAATATATTTACTTTTTAGATTGGTTATAGTTTCTTTAAATTTAATAAATCATTGAATATTGCATGTAAACAGTTTTGCAATGCAAATAGTTTTCAACGCGTAGCTTTAGGAACTCGCATCTCTATGTGTCGGTGGCCTTGATTTGAGAGCCGTTACATCTTTTGTCCATATGAAGAAACTACATCCTATTGTGTTTTAGGCCTCAACGAGTGTTTCAAAGGCTATATATTATGTGATACACCACTTTCCGTTCTACAAAGATTTTAAATTCGATGTCATTTCTATATACAATTTCCTCGTAAAAACTGTTATTTTCCCCATCATGATTTTTCCCTAAGTCAGTTGCAGCGTTAGGGTAGGGCAAGATGGGCGACCGCCCAGAGCATCGAGTATAAAGGGGTGCAGTGGTCCCCCCTTAGATACCCTATCTTTGGAAGATTTCCCCCGACATAAAACGCAAAAACCTCGCCCAGGGCGTCGGAAACGCTAAAACCGGCCCTGCGAAGTGAGATTTTGTTATTGCATAATTATACGTTATTCGTAACATTTTGTGGCGCGAATTTTGTCTTGAAATTCAATAAGTGTGTTAAATTTTCGTTAAATATCCTTTCATTGAGTGATATCGGATTCGAATTGCATTGAATGTTCGGTGTTGGAATCACAATTGATGCAAGTTGTACAATTTCATGTAATATGGAAACCACGGATGTTACTTTCCCTTTCGATTGTTATAAAATCTTTATCTAGGAATGGATGTGACCCAATTAGATAAATAAGGTCCTTCATAAAACACTAATCATACCTTTGGTTCTTGAGTACAAAATCTATGTCTAAAACATATCGTCATCCTAACATATCATGATCGTTTTAAACGGTGATTTTCGTCTTACTATAGACTTCGTTTGAGAAATTCTACTACAGTGTTTTAGTTAATTAGTTAATATCTCTAGATATGTAGAAATAATTACGAGTTAGTATGAAATGTTTATGTATAAATAAATGCGTGTAAATTTTTGTTTTATGAATTTATCGTCGGCTTATGTTACGTGGCAGTTAAGCCCGGTGGCAATGTTTGCCGTTGTTTTTTTTTTCAAGAATGTTTACGCGAGTTTATTGATTTTTATGGCGGATGATATCTGGTCGCCTACAGGCTTTTACAACAAGCATATTGATTTTTTTTACTTTAAACTACAGTCAAGGATCCGTGAAAATTCATGATATGTCGACTTTTCTAGATTTCTTTTAGTCTTAAATAAAGAAATTTGAATGATGATGCTCTCTGTTATAACCTGTACGTAAGCAAAAGCTAGCTATTAATATAAGCTTAGTCCCGATAAGAAATAAAATTCTCAGGAATTTTAACCGAAAAAGTGCTGAATTCATTAATAATAATAAAACAGTATTATAGAGAGTGAGTCGGTGCCGTAGTTGTAAATCACTTGACTGGACCGAAAGCTATAAGTCCAGGTTTCATTCCCGCTATATACTAATGTGTTTTTCAAATTTCAATATAATCGACGTTCTTACAGTGTAGGAAAACATGCAATCTGTACATATCTGCGAAGAAATTCAAAGATACGTGTGAAGTTACACACTGGGCCTTGGTTGACAATAGTCGACACTGCAATAATAGCAGCGATGTATGTACGTGTAGTAAAAAGTTGTTTTAGTTTTGATGTTTAATCGTTTTATCACTGTTGTTATCCTTGCGAAGGTGATTGCACCTAAATGTGATGAACTTTGTTATCTTTTTTTATATAGTTGTCGCCTTCGGATGTAATATTTATATCTGAGATGAAAGATTCGCGAACATTCCTTCTCTATACACGTCAACATGTTCCTGTTAAATGTCAGCATATTTAATGAAAATCAAGTAAGTGAATGGTTTTTATTCTGATAACATTAAGTAGTTGAAGGCGTGGTTGTTTGATAGTAAAAAGTTTATGACATGATCGGCAGCTGTTACTAAATTTAACCTGGAAATTATTGTGTAATTAAAAAAGAAAAATTTAAGTTTTAAGAAAAAAGTATGGCTTTCCTTCTGCCAGTATTGTCAAATTTTTGTGCCACACGTTTGGGAATTTTTGACAGTAGGGTTTTTCAGTTTTTTTTTTAAATTAATCTTTGATATTTTAAGACAAGTTCTATCAACTATTTTATAAGACAGTTTTGTAATTTTTTTCCGTCGTTACAGGATAATGAATCCAAACGTAAAGTTTAGTTAGATGTTACTAAAACATTAGGTATCATAGACCAACCGATTTTTAGTGATGGCAACTAGCAACGAGGCCGTGACATTGACCTTGACATCAACCTAACTAACTCGAGCGACTCTCAATATCAAAAGCTTTACTAATTAATGCACAGTTCAAGATTCGCTAATAAATATTTATACAATGTTCCAAGCCTCTATTATGTTTCCATTTAGAGGCTGTTGAACTTTTTATATTTCTTGATTATATAAAAAAGCTAGTGTAATCTATGTTGTCTATGTCCGATTTAGAAAATTTATGGTTTTATGACTTGACTAGATTTTATTCGTGATTTGTACTGCCTTAGACTGTATCGTAAACATTTATTTTAGTGTTTTCTAGATCGTTACGGTCACCGAAACCATCTCCGAGTTCAGTTGTGTTGGAATACGCTTTTTTTAGACAAAGAATTTCACTAGTGTTTTTTTTAGTTTTATATTGGGCTGTGATTACTTTTAAATATACAGTTAGATTATAAATAGCATATGTTGAAAGATATTCTGATTTTGTTGCATTTTCTAAGTTTTTTTAAGATGTTGTGTTTCACTATTTTTATACTATGTTTTTGAAGTTTAAATTTGCTATCATCAGCTATCAAAGTGTTAAGTTAGAGTTACACTGATACTGGTAATGAGGGTCAGGTGTATTGTAAGGAGAAAATTATTAAGTAATAGACAATTTCCAGTCTGTACAGGTATAAAGTCGTAATAAAATGACACTATGGTGGGGCCTGCGCGTTGTGCTTTGCAGTGTTTGAAATTCTACGCGCATAGTCGGACAGTCAGACTCAGTGGGTGACTCGAATATTTTGACGTCAACTTTGTATTTTGGATGCACAAAATAATATAAAATATGACGCCATTGTTAAGATAGAAATATAAGTTCATATATTATGTTCTTACAGATTTATTCTTTGAAAAATATATGACTAATTTTAGCAAAAAAAAAACGTTTCTATGTAGTAATTCGATCATTTTGGTCGAACTTCAGATTCGAGTCATAATTTAATCGCCAAATACTTGAGGAAAAATCAAATAATTGATAGTTTAGTATTACGTTTTTGTTCCCAGATCGTTTCTCAAGAAATCGTCAATCAAGTCGTCCGAATTGAAAAGCAACCGCTCAGTAATGACTCCTTTTTCTTTTGATTTACCGAAGTTGTTTTTGTAAAAACGATTTTGCATTTAATTTCCCAGCGCTGTGTACTGTTATTATCAAATTAAGCTGTCGAGACCACACTGTAAGCGGTAAAATTGTAAATTT